CATATGTAGTAAGAATGTGACAAAGTACAAAAAAATATAGAAAAATAAATAGTGAAATGGAAGAAATATCCCGGCAAAGATAGAGCTGAATAAAAAACTGTTTTTACTATGGAAATTGAAAGAAAGGGTTGCAATACAAATTGGGCAAATATTATAAAATATATGATAGGAGCAACAGAAGCAACGGTTGCGCTGGGATGCACAGAATACAAAAAAATGGGTAATAAAAATGGTATGAATATCTAGTCAACTATATGCTATAAGAGTATATCATTGAAAGGTGGGAGTATATAAATGGAAATCATATGGGGAACTGGGTCTCGAACTGGAAAGAACTGATGCCAAAGTGAAGGAAAAAAGAAAATACAACGAACCAAATGAGACCATATCCATGATCCAGCAATTAGAATAAAAGCCAAATTGAATCACAAATGTTTCCAGAGGGGAGAGATGGAGGGGGGCAGGGGCAGGAAATAAGAAGGAAGGTATAAGTAGGAAACTAAGATGGAATTTGAAAGGAGAAGAAACCGAGCTACACCAGAAAAGTATGTACTCTCCTTTACATGTATGTATTGATTTTGTTTCTTTAATTCTGCTGTAATATAATGGAGAAAGTTATATTCTACTTATACAACCCAATAAAGAAATTAAAAAAGAAAGAAATTTTATATACGTGTGTACTCAACATTCAGCAATTAATTCTGTGGGTCCACTCTAGATTTAGATAATTGATTGAAAGGGCTGAGGAATGAACCTGTTTTCCAAAAGATCTCTCAAAGGAGCAACCAAGGTTCCTTGACAGGGAAATAATGTTCCCGAGAGAGCTATATCGATGAAGAAAACACACACCATCACTTTGTCGTATTGAGCATGGGTCTTCTACAGAGAAGTTTTGAATATTTAATTTACTTTTTAGGTAAAGGTTTGCTACACTTTGATTTAAGGTTGGGAAAACAAACAGGGGTCTGATTCAAAGGACTAACCTATGAAGCCTCTTTAGCTATAGGAAGGCAGGAAAAATGAATATATTCTTCTGCAAAAAATGATAAGCAAAACAGTTCTTAAAGCAATGTTCTAAAATCATAATGCTAACAGTAAATGGGACTACTCCAAAAACCTACATACTATTGTTCAGAAGATAACAAAGGCAATTGATATGGTTATTTTATGGATTGTTAAACCAGCTGCACATTTAGGAAAACACTTGCCATTGCTGCAGAACACGCAACAAATTTAGCAATTTAATCTGGTCCAGGAGTCTTCCAGGCATATTGGTGTTACATAAGACACAATGATAAGGCCTTTTTGTGGCACACTATCTGCCTCCTTTTGCCTCAGATTCCTTCACTTTCTGCATCAAACGAAATATGTTTGCATATTTGAAAATACACCCCCATAAATCAAGAAACAAAAATGTGAAAGCTGTTTTAGTTCAAATGTATGTTCTATTTTCTGAAATTCAAGAAGGTCAATGTGGAACTTCCAAGCAGAACAACACAGCCAGCATATGGCATTATTCTGATGCATTATTATGGAAATGATTCATTATTCTATGATTCTATAAATAAATATGGATAGTTTTAATGTATATATAATTACTACAACACCAGCAGTTTACATACGCAGTAGGAAACATACTTTTTGTAAAAGTTGACAACAATGAACTTTAGAAGACATCAACTTTGGATATGTTATTAAGACGTGACTCTTGATGTGTTTCCCTCTTAACTATGTAATAATGGCTGAGTTCCTTTCTGTAAAATCTGTATTTCTAAAACTAGATCATTTTTGTTTTCTACAATGCTGTTAATTTCCAATTTTAACCCACCGCTTTATTCATTTTTCTATTTGGAAAAACTGCCTGAGGATGCAGTAACATGCAAGTAACATCTCCCACCACTGCCTATATTTTAAGTATTAGCTGATTACAATGCAAGGTATTTATACTTACATGTCAAAACCACAGTTCCAAAAGTATAAGTTTATATTTTGCCTAATTAATACCCCCAGGGTACACAACTCAGAACCCTTACAGCTGGTATAAAGAAGTCTGCATTGCCAAGCAGTGCCAGAGTTACACACACTCTGAGGCACACCAGCAATGTGCAGTCAATGTGCTTTCTCACTCAATTCACACGCAACACTGCAGAACACCATTCATCTGCTTCCCCCATTACTAAGTGACTCAGCACTCTATGGCAAAGGACGTGGTTTCCAAGTTCCTTCTCAGCTCAAAGATGGGATTCAAGAAGCAGCAAACTACAGTGGAAGACTTACCCTATATATTCATATAGAAATCTAGAACTTTGAGTCAAAAAATCAATCCAAAACCCTTGAGTCAATGTATCCATTGGTCAATGTGAATAATGTACTTTAACTCCTATTTTTAAAAATGACCTTAGTCCATCTTGGAAGAACCTAAAAGAAACACCAAGCCCCTTCACATCATGGCACCACTGCTGGCCTCTTTGAATGTTTGGTTGCAGAAATAGCAGTCGCAGTCAGAGGCATCTGGCACCTGAGTCAGCATTGGTGCTATCCCTTCTCTGTGAAATGATCCTCAGCTTATCCATGGATCACATCAACATTCATCATTTTGGCCCCAAAATCTACTCTCGACTTACATATGAGAGGCACTTATACCTGAATATATGCAATAGTTTCCTCTGAGATCACCTTCCTCTATGGATGCCAGGTACGGGCAAACTTTGGCTCTCCAGGCATTTTGGACTTCAATTCCCCCATTTCTAACAGCCTATTGGCTGTTAGGAACAATGGTAGTTAGTCCATAACACCTGGAGGGCCAAAGTTTGCCTATGCCTGATCTACAGTGTAGAATGAGTGCAATTTGAAACCACTTTAACTGCCATGGCTCGATGCTATGGAATCCTGAGCACTCTTTGACAGAGTAGGCTGAAGAACTTTAAAACAATGGTTTCCAACCTGTGGTCCGTGGACTACCAATGGTCCCCAAGAACTAAAATATGATCCACGACCTCACCGTTACTGCACCATTGCAACAATGCTGGGAAAGGAAAAGATGACTACCCATGAAAGGTGCGACAACAAGCCTCCCAACTGCTGCTTCTCCTCCTCCTCCTCTCTCCCCCTGAGCGGAGCCATTCGATATGGTGCCTGGAAGTGGGGCGCCTTGGTGTCTTCGTTTCTAGGCCTGTTCCTGGGGTTATTTGGGGTGCTGATTCAGAAAATTGCATTGGATAGACCATAACAGCTCTAGATTATTAAATATGGTTTTCTGTGAGCGAGCAGATGGTGATTACTGGATGGCATGTGTTCTGTATCAGAAACTAGAGCTGATGTGGTCTATCCAGTGCAATTTTCTGAATCAGCACCCCAAATAACCAAACTGTATCTAAAGTTGACCAAAAACTGATTCGTAATCTTTTTGGTACCAATGTTGGAGAGTAGCCCCTGGTCACAGTGGTCCCCGATAATAAAAAAAAAGGTTGGGAACCACTATTGTAAAACTACAAATTGCATTGAGTAATGGTAGTTAAAGTGGTGTCAAACTGCATTCATTCTACAGCATAGCTGCACCCTTGTCTCATAACAGACAGGCTTGCAATCTGCCTCAGTTGACTCTGTGAGTCATGCCCTCTCAATACAACATTAGTCCCTAGTTCTCAGAAAAGTAAGGATACTTATTAAAATGCAAAACAGAGAAAGAAAGGGAAATTATTTGTTGATATGAAAGAGAAAAGAAGGTCTTATTTATTGCCGTAAGTTAAAAATGAAATATTGTAAGTTAAATAAGGCCTTGCCTTCCACTCCAGTAGTTTTGCAAGGATCACAGGGAAGCCTGCTAGCTAGGCATATGTTGTGCATATCTGTGGCCCCAGTCAAAGCCAACAGCGCTGGAGCAGTTGCATAGTATTGTTGTAACAATGAGATTTCATGTTTAATCAGAGTGTCATAGGGGAGTGGCTTCCAGGAGAAGTTGCTGGCGTTGCCCAGGGCAGTGATACACAGCTGAAAGGGGCATGGGAGTTTTATTTTATAATCAGTACAGCTAAGCCTCCCAACTTAGTACAGTTCAACAGACCAAGAGATAAGGGCATGAGACCATCTGCCTTCTTGTGGGAACATCTCAGCTCACATGCCCTCACTTTCAATCTAGCTGAGGAAGGGGTGGGGTATATTAACTGCATATTTTTTGCATTTCTCATAGTTTATCGATGATTACAATGAAATTGCTCTTTGCAAAGCAAGGCCTTATTTGTAAGACCTTGGTGTCTTAGTCACTGGGCTAACATTTATGCTTTGACCCAATCTAACAGGTAAAAGTATGCTATCTCAGACTAATAAACTGCAAGCCAATGGGGTGGATTTGCCACAGCCATTAGCCATCGATAAGACTTACTTTACACCAGTAACACATGATGGCTTCAATATATGATTAATCTTTTGTAAAGCTTTTAAATGGATTCCATTCCAGCTGAGAATATACAGCTAGTCAAGATTTGAAAAGAAAGTAATGCATATCATTTTGTCCTTTTTCTTTCTCCTGGAAAAGCAACTTCAAACACAAAAAAATTCACAGGCTTCCATAACATCCCTAGTCATGGTGGCTCCGATAACTGATGATACTATTTCTTACAGGTTGAAAAGTCAAATTCTTCTCTTGAAATTTTAGAAGAAATAATGTGCACCAGAGGTAAAGTTATTCTTCAGGTAAAGAAGAACTGAAACCATTCACCAGTAATGCACTATCCAGAATCAGAAACAAACAAAAAATTTGCTCACGCAACATTGACATTTACCTCACCTCTCCTGCAGGAGGTACCAGCTCAAGACAAGGCATGACAAATGTTGCCCAAGTCCTACTGATATCTCACGCAGGAATAATTAGCCCTCATGGACTTATGCAAGAAACACTAACACAACAAGGCAAACAAATGAAGCACAGCTAGTAAGTGAGGAGAAATGATAAGGACAGCATGCAATGTAAATTAAGAGAAACAAAGGTGTGCTGAACTTACCCCTGCAGCAAAGCCCAGGCTGCCATCCAGGATCCGTCTCTGCAAATTAAAGAACTCAAGATTAAAAATTGCTATAAAAGACAAGACTGGGCACCTTACTGTGTACAGAGTTCAAAATCCAGCCAGAATTCAGCTCAACACTTAAGCTATAATAGTCATAAATATCAAGACACATGTAACACAAAGTTGCACATGTTCAGTTGTGGATAGGACAGGAAACTTAGCTGTTGAATCTTTTCTACTGAACCTCACCCTGATTTGCTCCATCATCCAACGTTGAGTGAGATGTATTGTCAAAGGCTTTCATGGCCGAAATCACTGGGTTGTTGTAGGTTTTTCAGGTTGTATGGCATTGTTCTAGTAGCATTCTCTTCTGACGTTTCGCCTGCATCTGTGGCAAGCATCCTCAAAGATGCTTGCTATATTCCCACCTAACAAGTGGAAAACTGAGACTGACATGGAAGTCCATGACAGAGTAGGGCTTTCAGCTCAGCTCTCCAGATCAACTCCCCTAAATACAGGCAGCACTCCATATCCATAGTTTGAAAATATTTTTAAAAATTCAAAAAAAGCAAACATTGATTTTTGCCATGTTATATAAGGGGCATTTACAGTAGAGTCTCGCTTATCCAACATAAACAGGCCAACAGAAGGTTGGATAAGCAAAAATGTTGGATAATAAGGACGAATTAAGGAAAAACCTATTAAACATCAAATTATGTTGTGATGTTACAAATTAAGCACCAAAACATCATGTTTCACAACAAATTGACAAAAAAGCAGTTCAATGCACAGTAATTACTGTATTTATGAATTTAGCACCAAAACATCACAATGCATTGAAACAGCAGTCGATCCGGGCAGGAGGCAGGCTGCGTTGGATATTACAGAATGTTGGACGAGTGAAGGTTGGATTAGCAAGACTACTGTATTTTGCTATAATGTACAATGGGACCTGGGCATCCACAAATCTTGATGGAACTAAACTCCAGCAGACACCAATAGCCCACTACAAACACGCATATTAACAACACCCCTTTCCTAAATCAACAATATTCAAAATGACAGAACATAACAAGCAATACAGAGCTCTTCTTCAAGCATCAACATTCCAAGAAAAAACACTTCACAGTTATAATGAGAGCTCTTCTAAACAGAACAATTGGATTGTATCATCAAGCTGTATTTCATACCATGTCATTTGAGTCAACCGCCTATGTCTGAAGAAGAATTCAAGATGCAGCGAAGTATCTTTGGTGTCAACATGTTTCTGTACCTCCCCTTGTTATGCTTCCAACCCCACATCACAGAAGCTTAACAGGAGGGTCTTCCAATATTAGTTCATCCTGAATAATCCATTTGATGTGTTTCTGAGCTTCTACTTACATGCAATGGGCTCTTCGTGTCTGCTAGAGTTTGGTTCCAAGACCACACATGGATACCAACATCCATGGATGCTCAATACCCATTATATACAATTGTATAGTTGGAGTATCCCCTGTATAAAATGGGGGGTGGGGGGTTTCTTAATATTTTCAAGCTATGGTTAGTTGAATCTGTGATTATGGAGGACCAATTGTATATGTGTATGATTTGTTCTCTCTGCACATAACTCGCAGCTGAATGCAAAAAAGACTCCATTCTACACACTCTGTTTTAACATAAGTTAGAGCAATCTATCGTTTCAAATCTACTGTAGCCCAGTCATTTGTTTATGTCATCAATGGAGCTTGACAAAATATTTTACATAACAGGGACAAGCATATGTATGTGTTAAAATTATTTGGATACCAATCAGATATAGGAAGGTGCCAGCCCTAAATTTACTGATAAGGTTTACCCCCAGCCCCAGCCCTATAGTCTGTGTTTTGCACAAGTCCTTGCCCTGCCTCCTCTAATCTGATTATGCCCACAATACTCTAGTTACTGGTGGTTGAGGTTGGTTTTGATACATTCTATGATGTTTTTATACTTTGCTGGTTTTAATTGTTTTAAGTTAGATTGTTTAAATATTGTTATGTTTTTAAATTGAGTTTTAGCTTGTAAATTTTGTTTTATGCTGAGCTTGGCCCCAATGTAAGTCGCCTGAGTCCCTTTGGGGAGATGGTGGGGGATATAAAAATAAAGTTATTGTTATTATTTGTATCCAATAGAGTCTCTTGATACACATAATATAAAGTCCTTGATATATCAGACAGTTATAATAACTTTTTGGGAACTAAGAAAACATTTATTAAGTGTGTGTCTAAGACAATGCACCTTTACAATACAATCCTAACAGAACTTAAAGTCTGATTTAGCTTAGAAGGACCTACTTCAGAGTGAACTTGTCTAGAAATATATATGAGCTGTTCCAGGTTTTCTTTTTAAGTCTGAGGCTTGGTTTGTTTAATTATAACCCTTCTTCTTCTTCCTTTTTAGAAAATTGTTATTTAACAACTATTAAAAACACATTGAAAGCTGCTTTTGGATGGCTCACAGGACATAAATATGCAAATAACTAAGTAGACATTTCTGTGCTTTTAAGTGGGAAAAGTTTAATTAGAAACACAAAAGCTCCTGTGAATATGAACTGCTTCAGTAAAGATCTCTTAAAATTTAGTACTCCTTTCTTCCAAGTGAAAACAGATTAATGATCTGCCCACACATCTATTATTTTAAGGACTTATGGCACATCTTCACCACCCAGTCCTAATAAGAATGAGAAAGCTGAGAGGAATGCCAGGCAGCCAAATCTTTTTATATACTGGTTTTAAACCCCTTCGTTGGATGTGTTGCAATAACAGATTCCTAGATTACTTTAGTGTTTACACCTTATTTTTTGTTATTTAATATTTAATGTTTATTTTACTTAAGTGATATTTGTCTTTATAGTTCTAATGTAGCACAAATCCTATGTAAAATTGTGCTATGTATTTTTGACATTAATATTGACATTTTAAATATTTACAGAAAGCAAACAGATAAGTCACACTTTCTCAGCCTCAGGTTGGGTCTATTCTGCCATATTATCCAGTATCTAATAATATTATCTGATTTGAACTGGAATATATGAGACACTGCCAGATAATCCATTTCAAAATAGATAATCTGTGATCAGAAACTGGATTATATGGCAGTGTAGAAGGGGCCTCAGAGAAAGGCAAAGGCAAACCCACTTTGAACAAATCTTGTCCCCCTCAAAAAACATAAGGTTGCCATTAGTCGGAAATGAAGGCACACAATAATAATGATTTTTTTAAAAAAAACATACAGGAGCTCCTGCCTGGTCATCAAATGCCTGCACAGGTCTGGTAAATTCAATGCCATGGCTCCTCTAATTGAATCAATTCACCTACAATGTAATCTTTCTACTTTTTCTACCCCCTTCCATTTTACAAAAGATTGTATTCTTTTCCTATGAGTCATATAATCTTATATGTCCAAACTACAACAGACTTAGTTTAGTTGTCTTCGCTTTTAAAGATCATTTTGACCTGATTTGTTCTAGATCCCATTCATTCGCCTTTTTAGCTGTCCATGATGACAGAACTCTCTTCTAAAACCACCTTTCAAATAACTTGATTTCCTGCTTGTCAATTTCCTTCACTGTCTGGCTTTCATGCCCATAAAGAGAAGTTAGGAATACGACATCCCAAGTTGATCCTGCTAAGTCATGGCTTCCTAGGTCAGGGAACTGCTTTGAAAAGGGACCTCTGGGAAAGCCTTGGGACCTTAAAAATAGCTTTGCTATGTTGCCTACAAGCTGCACCCTCCACACTATTGTGGCAAGTAACGTTACACTTTACAATAAGGTTAAGATCAAGAACCAGAATGTCACTAGCCTGCAGCTTCTTGGGACTTCTTGTCTGTATTGTCAAAAGGATCAAGGATTCTCAAGAATGAGCTCTGTGGAAATGAACTGCCTTATGTTTTTCAAAAGTCAAAGGGAAAAACAACTTATTTGGAAATTGAAAGGAAGCTGTTCCAATAGAAGCTGGGTTTCTTTTACGCAGGATAACAAAGATGAAGCCATGACCAAAAAAACCGTGGCAGAAACTACTTCCAACTGATGAAAAATCTTCTGGGTTGAGGTTGACACCACAATAAACCTGTCAGTTTTTATGATGCTATATTTACTATAACAGCCTAACCTGGTTATGCTCACAGATCTCTATGAAGAATAAAACTTGGAAAGTAATATCTCTGGGAATTTTTATTTTTTTTAGATTTTGTCTCATTTTGAAATGATCTTATATATATGTATTGTTTAGTTCAATATTTTTGATATTGTTCTGTAACTGTATTGGAGCGAATATTTTGTAAGCCTCAATTCTCAGTACAGGTTCACATTCCCTTATCCAAAAATATAGAATATTCGAAATATCGATTTATTGTGTCGTCAAAGGCTTTCTTGGCTAGAATCACTGGGCTGCTGTGAGTTTTCCATCAGGGGAGAATGCTTCTCGAACATGGCCAAACAACCTGAGAAACTCACAGCAACCCATCCATTTATTTGTTTTTGCCTGCCAGCTACTCACTTCAACCTTTGCAGAAAGGAGGCTAGTCACACATCCAGTGCTTGCATATAGTGGCTCCTGACAAAGTGGGCATCCTGAAAACAAGCCATGAGGCAAGTGCAGAGCATCTCTATTAGCCACTTCCTGTATGCAGCCCAGAAATAATGAAAACAAAACTCATAGGATGAAGGAAGGATTTGTGCTGACAGCCGGAGAAGTACCTGGGCTGTCAGCTTTTTACAGAGGCCTTGTGTAAGCAGGGTCCTTTTCATGGAACCTCCCTTTGTCAGGCCTCCTTGAGGAAAAACCTGGGGCAAATCCCCTTTTCCTCATTCACTAATTATATGCTAATATACGCATTCTAAAATCAAAAATCTGAAAATCCCTAATCCCAAACATTTCAGATAAGGGAGAGTCAGTCTAGAGAGGGGGAAAAGCAGAATAAACAATGTGTATCATTGGATATTATTGTTTTTATATGGTTTATATTATATGATAATGTTTTAACTATATTTTATGTTGTTGGGGGCATTGAATCGTGCCGATTGTAAACTGCCTTGAGACGCCTTAAAGCTGAGAAAGGCGGTATATAAATATGGTAAATAAATAAATAAATACATAAAATATTATTATTATTATTATTATTATTATTATTACTATTATCAAAACAGACCTCCCACGTAAAACAGAATGGCAAACTTGTTATTCTCCTGATGCTGGACAGCAATGTTTATCAGTCATAGATGCCATGGTGAGGAAAGAAGGATGCTACAGTTGGAGTTCAACATTATATGGTTACCACTCCTGATTTAGAAGGGCCAAATTCCTTAACACTTGACTTATTTCCTTCTTTGGGACTATTATCTATCTCTGATTTCTCTGTATCCCATAGTCATACTTGTACTATGCATTCACATCTCCACTAGTGAGACTACAGTTCAAATAATCTGGTTCTCCATCCACTGTTTTTCGGTTTTCACTGTGAACAGTGAACTGAAGCATAAGGCTCACCTGTCCGCTGGAAAAGACAAAGACAAGTGCCGCACCAGCAGCCGTCAATCCCCAGGTCAAGAAGGTTCCTAGAAGTGCCTGAAACACTGGACTGTATCCCAGTAACATACTGAGCACTCCAGCTTTTGGTGATCTAGGGAAGAGGAAAGGCAATTAGCCAAACAATTACCAATATTAAAATATAAGTCATTCAAAAATGTATCACACCACTTCCCAACCCGATTTTCATTGATTCCACTTACCTGTTGGTCTCATTATCAGAAGCCAAGGTTATTAAATTTATCTACCTAGTTTTCTTAATCAGACTTGCATCCCATTTCTAGAGGCATTTCAATAGAAAAGGTGGTGGGGAAATATGTGTAAAAGTCTCACACTTCCTTCTTTGGAAAAATGCTAAAACACACCCGTTTTTCAGCACAGTTTCTCTGCTATAAAATGGTAGTGCCAATGCATTCCTGTGTGCAGTTCCTAGAAATGGGATTTTTTTTTGATATCTCAGTAAGACCTATTTCTGAGTAATTGCAGCTCTGAAGGATTGGCATGAATTAAGCTCATAAAACACTCCAGCCAAAATTTGGCATTTTGTCTTATTTCAAGCAGATGCAGTGAACCAAAGGGAACTTAGAAGTCAGCAGCACTTCTGCAAGTTCTAGTGATTTCACTGATCTTGTCTAATAAGGGCTAGCAATTGGATTTAGACCTTTATGGCTTGTAGTCAGCCCTCTTTATCCATGGATTCTGCATTCACATATTCAGAAATCAACATCTTGAAAATGATTTAATTGCAAAAAGCAAATCTTAATTTTGCTATTTTATATAAGGGATACCATTTTACTATGCCATTGCATATAATGAGACTTGAGCATTCACAACTTTTGGGGGTTCTTGGAACTAAGCCCTGGGGAATATCAAGGGTCCACTGTAATTCCATTCAGGAGATATAATGCAGCTACACTGACACATCTTCCTGCTGTTTAGAAATGGAATCTGTCTACTTAAGGCTGCTGTTGATTGTTCTCAAGTCATCTTACAGCAGCCTCTATTATTTATTTATTTCCAATATTTCTACCTCATTCTCCTCAACCCCCGGGGGGGACTCAGGATGGCTTACAACGGCAGCAATTCGATGCCAACAACATAAAACTGCTGACCTGAAGCCTTCTGAATGACGATCCTCCAAAAGCTGTAATCTGCGGCCCTATTCAAGTCTTGCAAACACAGGCTTCCTTGATTGGGTCAATCCATCTCTAAAACAGCCTTCCTCTTTTCTAACTGCCTTCTGTCTTTGAAAGAGACAAGTTACATATATGCAACATGGCTATTAGTGTTGAAATACCTCGACCACATGTTATAGCATAATCATAACTTACAGAAATAATAGAGAAAATGACAATGGGGTTGTGGTGGTGCAATGGGTTAAACCCTTGTGTTGCTCAACTGCTGATCTGAAGGTTGGCAGTTTGAATTGGTGAGACGGGTTGGTGGGAATTGGTGGGACGGGCTGAGCTCCTGCTGTTAGCCCAGCTCCTGCCAATCTAGCAGTTTGAAAACATGCAAATGTGAGTAGATAAATAGGTACCACTTCAGCAGGAAAGGCATAAGATGCTCCAAGTAGTCAAGCTGGTGACATGACCAGGTGACAACACAGGCTCCTCGGCTTAGAAATGGAGAACAGCACCTCCCCAGAGACAGAGATGAGTACCTCCTCCAAAGCCGGAAATGAAAGGAGAAGCCTCTGCCTTTGTTTGTGTGTCTCATAGCATTGTAACAAGGTATTGAATGTTTGCCGGTATCTGTTTACACTGTAATCTGCTCTGAGTCATCATCATCATCATCATCATCATCATCATTATGACAAGCCATATTGAAGAGACAACTTTCCCTTACCCTGCTATGATCCTAGTAAATCCATAGCTAGTCTTTCAGGATATAGTACTATGCTGAGTACGGTGCTGTTCTTGGTTATTTTGGGAAGGACTTCTTTTCCCCACACAAAGATGACCTCACTTCAGCTATACTCCATATGGGACTCTTGTAGAGATGTATAGGGATCTGAAGAGTCTCTAAGCAAGTGACCTCTCCTTATTCTGCCAGTTCAGCTTTCCTGTACAGAGGCCACACATGAAACTGAGCATGCTACCAGGATGTATGAGGTGGCCAATTCAAGTAAGGAAAAGGTTATGGGCAGGAATGATGCAATGAGCAATGGGGAATGCCTTGCCACAGGAGATAAGTCTGTCTCCTTCCCTCCTCTCTTTCTGCCAGCAGATAAAAAGTGTTATTATTTAAACAAGGATTTGCTGACTACGTGGCCCATAGAAACTTCCTTAATGGGATATGTATGCTGCCTTGTTATTGCTTTTCCACATTCTTACATGATTTTATACTGATTTAAAGAATTTACTATGGTAGTTCTATTGACAGGCAGTCCTGAGTTACAAACACCCAACTTACAAATGACTCACAATTAAGAACGGGGGTGAGACAACAGGAAAGGAGAGGAAATCTACCCTTCGGGAGGGAAATTCACTCCTGAGAGTTATTATGGGGAAAAGGTGTCTCCACAGGAGTTTTATCACCAATCCTTATCTAATTTTTGCCTCTGTGGTTGTGTACCTGTCCAGTGGAGCTCACAATGTGGATCTGAGTCCCATCAATTCCTTCTCTATCGGCCTAGTTCTTTAAACAAATGACACAATGTAAAAGATGAACAGAACTTAAGTTCATTGCTTCCTGATTCCTTTGGACTATGGAACAAGCCAATGAAAACACAGTTGTCGATGTGTGTTGGTTATTTCTCTAGTTGCATGTCCTATCACTGTCCCTGCCTGGTGAAATGTGGCAAGAGGAGAACTGCATGTGCCCGATTGCCCACCAATTGTACAGGTTCTATTTGTGTGTTCTTCCTCTTTACACTGATCTCCATCTTATGTGCCTTGGACTTATGGCGATCCTTTTCTAGAGACTTCCTTGCAAGATTTGTTCAGTGGGGGGTTGTCATTGCCATATTCTGAGACTAAGCAACTCTCACTTAACCAAGGACACTCAAGAGATTTCCATACAATAACTATAGCAATGCAATAATGGAGAGTGACAGACTAATGGACTAATTCTGGACAATAAATTTGAATTTGTGTGATTTTAATTGCTGATTTAATTATTTATGTTTTATTGTTATTTTAATTGTAATTGGTATTTTTGGAATTTGTTTGTTGGGTATTGAATTGCTGTTGGTTGTGAGGCTGCCCTGAGTCCGCTTCAGGGTGAAAAGGGCAGGGTAAAAGCATGGGAAATAAATAAATATGGACCCAAATCCTGGAGTCCAAAGGTCATCATCCAATACTAAAATCACTATCCCATATCAATCACACTTGGAAATCCTCATACACAACACTAATTGCAATTAAAAAGTAGCAAAAGGAAGAACTGCATGTGCCAAATCAAGCTCCTGGCAGAGAAACACAGCATCAGGCATTGCTCATTAACCATCAAAATATACAGATTGACTATCCCTTATCCAGAAATCCAAAGTATTTCAAAATCCAGAATTTGCTTTCTGTTGATTCAATGTACACAAACTCAGCTTCATACACAAAATTATTTTAAATACTGTTTTCATTATTTCCTTCAGTTCACGTGCATGATGTGTACATAAAACCTAGATGAATATCCTATTTAAAGTTGGGTCTCATTTCCAAGATATCTGATTAGGTATGTGGATCCAAGTCCAAAATCCCCAAAGTTTCTGATTCCAAGCACTTTGGATAGAGGATACTCACCCTGCCTTGCTAAGGCCCACTGCTTAGAGCTCTGGACAATACTTTGATTTGGGGGAATGTTCTTTTGTGCTTAATTCATCATGTTCCCAGTAGCGCAATGTATTAAACCCTTGTCCTGGCACGATTGTTGACTGAAAGGTTGACAGTTCAAATCCAGGGAGCAGGGTGAGCTCCTCTCTGTCAACTCCAGCTCCCCATGTGGGGACATGAGAGAAGCTTCCCACAAGGATGGTAAAACATCAAATCATCCAGGCATCCCCTGGGCAACGTCCTTACAGATGGCCAATTCTCTCACACCAGAAGCAACTTGCAGTTTGTCAAGTCACTCCTAACATGGAAAAAAAAATCAATAACCCCAAACTCTTCACAATCCTGAAAACATGTTTCCAAAAAGTTGAGTCCTTTCCCCAACCCACTCTCTGTATGGCTCATACCTGAGGGGACAAGTATAAGATTTGTCAGCACTTTGAATCTTGCAGGGTGCATCTACACTGTAGAATGAATGCAGTTTGAGAGCACTTCAATTGCCATGGCTCAGTGTGAAACAATCCTGGGAGTTGCAGTTTTACAAAGTCTTCTCTCCCAAAGTGTGCTTGTCAAATGACAACTCCCAAGATTCCATAATATTGAGACCTGACAGTTCAACGGTGCTCCATGGAGTCATGCCGGCCACATGACCTTGGAGGTGTCTACAGACAACGCCGGCTCTTCAGCTTAGAAATGGAGATGAACACCCACCCCCAGAGTTGGACACGACTGGACTTAATGTCAGGGGACAACCTTTACCTTTAACAGTTCATGTGGTGTCAAATCGCATTAATATTACAAAGTCGATGCCCCTCTAATCTAATTGAAAGGTGTGGGTGCAGATCTGCACACAAATGAATAAATGAGCCTGCTTGCCACGTTGTACAAATGACAACTCCCCAGATTCCACACTATTGAGACCTAACAGTTCAAGTGGTGTCAAATCGCATTAATATTACAGAGTAGATGCCCCTCTAAGGTAATGGGAAAGGTGTGGGCATAAATCTGCACACAAATGAATGAATGAGCCTGCTTGCCACGTTGTATAAAGCACACTCAAAACTGATGTAAGCTTTTTACACAACCAGTCCATAGAGTAAAGCAATATACACACTTGCCATCCAAAGCACTTAGATCTAAACCTCTCACCAGCTGCAAATTGCAATCCCAGTTCCTTTCCTTTCGAAAATAAATTCCTACACAGAACCCCAGATTCCAGAACAGTTGCCAGATTCGCCTGATGTTTGTTTTCAACGCACCCCCTGCCTCACACTTTTGGTTCTCATCACAGCCCAGCCCACTTTAAAAATATTAACTCACTACAGGCACCACTTCTAGGACCACCCAGGCAGGCACTCCAATTCCGGCAGACACTTCCTGGTTCCCCTGCACACGTGTCTCTCAAACAGGCGAGGCCCCGCCCACTAGAACTCTTCGGCCAATGAGAAACCGGCATGGAGGGATGGGCGTAAATTCTGCGGTGCACGGCTCGTAGTGCTGTGGAAAGTGATGCGGGAGGCACAGCAAATGAGCAGCGTTTCCCTTCCTGGAGTCCAGCGGGAGGGCTAGAGGTGCAAGTGGAACTGATCCACACTGTGGAACAGATCCAGTTTAACACCGCTTGAACTAAGGAAGACTATGGCATCATGGGAGTGGTAGTCTTTCATACTCTGCTACCCAAGAGTGCTCACCAAACGATGCCTCCTATTACCCTTCTCAGCAATGAGCCATGGCAGTTCAAGTGGTGTCGAATTGGATTAATTATGCCATGTAGATATACTCTTGGAGGTTTTTTCCCTGCATATCTCTTATCCAAAACACTCTGGATTTTGGATTGCTTCTATTTGCATTTATATTCAGTTTGAACTTGATTATATGGTCAATGTAACCTCATATAATGCAGTGTTGGACTTAAATAAATGGGTCTACACTGACCATAAGGCTCCTTTTCAATTAGTCTACACTGACTACACTAGGCTCCCCATGAAGTCATGCCGGCCACAAGACCTTGGAGGTGTCTACGGACAACACCGGCTCTTTAGCTTAGAAATGGAGATGAGCACCAACCCTCAGAGTTGGACATGACTGGACTTAATGTCAGAGCAAAACCTTTACCTTTACACTGACCACAAGGCCCCTGGTGGCGCAATGGGTTAAACTGCAGAGCTGCTGAACTTGCTGACCAAAAGGTCACCGGTTTGAATCCAGCAAGCAGTGTGAGCTCCCGCCGTTAGCCCCAGCTTCTGCCGAGCTAGCAATTCAAAAATATGCAAGTTTGAGTAGATAAATAGGTACCACTCCAGCGGGAAGGTAACAGCACTCCATGCAGTCATGCTGTCCACATGACCTTGGAGGTGTCTATGGACAACACCGGCTCTTCGGCTTAGAAATGGAGATGAGCCCCACCCCACTCCCAGAGTCAGACACGACTGGACTTAATGTCAAGGGGAAATCTTTACCTACACTGACCCTATAATGCAGTTGAATGTGCATTATAATGGCAGTGTAGATGGGGCCTTTGTCAATCCGTTTCAGCATAAAAAGTGGGACGTGAAAGGTATAAAAGAAAAAAAACTGGCATCTCTTTTAATGCTAGCTAGCTAGTTTTATTTTAGCATGAGCTCTCATGAACTTCAGGCACAGTATCGAATGCTATTAAGGTCTCAGGTATAGTGCATATTTATGACTGGACTGCTGCAAATAGTCATTTCATTCGTTTTCAGCTTCCTATACTGATTAGAAACAGTGTTTTTACAAAGACACATCCTTGTTTGTGTGGATCCCCATACAAAAGGATCTTGTGGCACCTTTGAGACTAACTGAAATAAATTGGTAGCATGAAGCTTTTGTAAGCTTAAGTTTACAAAAGTTTGTGCTACCAACTTCTTTCAGTTAATCTCAAAAGTGCTACAAAACCCCTTTTGAGTATTTTTTGATGAAAATGTCTGCATTCTCCTATCAAGCAGTAATAACAAACTTCACATCAAGTGGATTGAATCACCAAAAAAAAGTTCATGGTTTACTTCTAAAAACAAGAGGTTTGCATTGGTGACAGATGCCCATCATCTTTCAAAACTAAAGTGGTTTTTTTTTTTTAGGAAAAACACTTATAAAATAAGGTGAGTTTTTCTCAGTGTTGTGCCGCCCTATTTATATTTCATTAAATGTTTGTTGATTAGAATTTATTATGTTTCAAACTGCATTACATAGCAGCAGAGATGGAGCCCAAATTGACTTGAAGTTATATAACATGGGAGCCGGCATGATGTAGTAGTTTGAGTGCTGGATCAGGTCTATTACAAACCAAGGTCAGAGGCCCTTTCAACACTGCCATATAAAATCCAGATTATATACTTTGAACTAGGTTATATGTCAGTGTAGACTCATATAATTCACTTCAAAACAGATAATGTGGATTATCTGCTTAGATAATCTGTTTTATATGGCAGTGGAGAAGAGGCCTGAATCTCCGCTCCACCATGGAAACTAACTGAAGGTGTTTTCATACTTCCTAAGAATAAAGTTTGCCAAGAAAATCCTAGAATCGTATCGTGTTGTGAGTTGGAATCAACTTGATGGCACATAACACATGTATAATCTACATGCTCTTTTGAACCCTGGTCTATGGGAACATTATTTGTTATTTATTTATACCTTGTAATTACTGTACATAGTAATGTACCTGTGAGTTACTCTGGACTGTGTTCTGACTTATAAGAAGCACTGCTTTACTATCAAGTTAAAAGTGGGTGCTAGAAATAATATCATACGAAAGCTGACTGGCACAACCTGGGGATCACAACCAGACACAGTGAAGACATCTGCGCCTGCGCTTTACTACTCTGCTGCTGAATACGCATGCCCAGTATGGAATACATCTCACCATTTTAAAACAGTGGATGTGACTCTTAATGAGACACGCCGCATTATCACAGGATGTGTGCTCCCTACCCCACTGGAGAAATTATACTATTTAGCCAGTATTGCACCACCTTACATCCACCAGGAAGTAGCAGCCAATAATGAAAGGACCAAGGCATTGACATCTCCGATCCATCCTCTGTTCGGATATCAGTCAGCAAGCCAATGCCTGAAATCAAGAAACAGCTTCCCAAGATCTACAGAGATACTCGCAGGAACACCACAGCAAGTGAGAGTCCAAAGGTGGCAGGCAAAAACTCGTAACCTCAATCAGTGACTGATACCAGATAATAGACTCCCTCCTGGGCACACAGAAGATTGGGTGACCTGGAAGGTCCTAAACAGGTTGCACTCTGGCACCACAAGGTGCATGAAATGAGGCTACAAAGTGGAGTCCACAGCATCGGAGTGTGGAGGAGAGCAAACCACAGGCCGCCTATTACAATGTAACCTGAGTTCTGCCACATGCACAATGGAGGACCTTCTCACAGCAACACCAGAGTCATTCTCAAGTGGCCAGCTTCTAGTCAAAGGACATTTAGCATAATGCCAAGTTTTTAACTTTGTGTTTTTGAATAAATTATAATTGCATCTAATTTGCTTCTGACAGGATAAATATAAATATAAATACCGTACATAGTGCTTTGCAAATAAAATGAAATAGCAGTTCTTCTAGTAGCCATCAGTAGTATTAACTACTATTGATAGAAAAGAAAATCCTCATATGATCAAATCAACTCTAGTCCACAGAAGGCTTACACAATAATAAACTGTCAAGTTGTTTCTATCTTTAGAAATTATTGCTCTTTCCCTGTAGTGAAAATGGTTTTTAATTAAAAAGCATGCCTGGCTGGGGGATAGAAGGAATCAGATAACCACATCCAAAGACGAACATGGACCCTCTATCATTAATAATTATGCAGAAGGGGACATTTTACCAGGTGTAGCTTCTTTTGAACCCGAGGGATGGAAGGGATAAGATTAAGTGTAAAGCAGTCAATTGAGATATATATTTTTAATTTTGAAAATTGGCAGTAAAATAGCTGATAAACCCCTCTTCCTCTGGATTCTTGTTGAGTGAGAAAGTCTTGAATATATTTTCAAGGGGAAATGTAAAAAAAAAAAAATCCCCCTAGTTCTTTTTACATCTAATTCCTGTTGCTACAAAAACTGTCCTGAAAACTGGAAGCCAGTAAGGAAATTCAGCAGTGCAGTTCTCAATCATATACCACTCATCCTTGTTGACATCTTTTTCCTGGTGGAGACTAGGCTTGAGCGCAGATCCTTTTTTAGCCATTTTCTTTGGCCAATCCGGCTTCTTTGGTTTGTTCGGGTGTGCAAAACAGCAAGGGCCCATCCGTCATGGATTCCCATCCATAATGGGACCACTTGGCAGCCAATCTCAGCTCCTTCTGCCCTATTCAGTATAACAGTTTAATCTTTTTTATTTTCTTTTATTTTCCTTTATTCTCTTGATTCTTTTTATTTAGTGGGACAGACTGGGAGTTGGGGACAGGTGGGATGGGTGGGTGGGATGCATGCATTTGAGGGCTTGGGAGAGTCACCCTTTTAGCTTTTTTCTCTTTCCCTTCCTCTCCTTCAAATACTTCTAAAAGATAATAATAATTATTAATAATCCCAACAAACAAAAAGAAAATTCTCATTCTCTGAAAACTACAACCACCTAGTTCCCTCTCCTCTAGGGTAGGAAGTAGAAACAGCTCTAAGGAAGCATTAAACCCAAAGCAGAAAGGAGATTAAAGTGTGCCAAAAAAAGAGAGGGATTTTTAAGGAAGCCCAGGGAGGATAGCTCCAGGTCATCACTCTTCCTTCCCTGGGCTTCCTTAAAATGCCTTGGAAAGCTGTGTGGCATGCTGCTGAGAGAGAAAGTGCACGCGCCTGCCTGCAGTGCCTCTCTATTAGAGTAGAAACAACTTTAATGAAGCATTAAACCTGGTCTCCTCTACAGTCCGAAGGGAAAGGATCACAGAAATAATGGTATCTTAACTCTGATACTTTTAATCCAGGTCTTAATGAAGGATATAAGGGCAAATAATGCCTAAAATTGTATTGGTTTTATTGCTTTTACTGGTTTTATGGTTGTTTTTGCCTTAGAATAATTATTGTTTCTGTTAATTGATGTTATTGCTAGAATTGCTGTTTCTGTTAACTGATGTTATTTGTCTTATTGCTGTTATGTGATGCGGGCATCGAATTGTGCCTTGCTTTTGTAAGCCGCCCTGAGTCCCCTCCGGGGTGAGAAGGGCGGGGTAGAAGCAACCGAAATAAATAAAATGATGGGAAGGGGAGCCTGGGAAGTTGTCCCCCCCCCCCAACATAATGGGCTGGATAGAAAATTAATCTTTCACTTTCCATGATTGAAAACAGATTTCTGTCCTCCCAGATTTGGAAGGTTCCCAAAAAACAGATTGGAACCCCCATAAATATCTGGGACACCGAAATGGATCATGGTTTACCCAGATTGCACAA